CACTGCCATGGCACATAGCCCAGAGTCAGATCAGCATATTGAGCGCCCCCCCCCCCCCGCCCCATACCTTAAGTGACTGTATTTCTAACAAATGCACTTGGAGAAATTTTCAGAATGAGGAGGACACTATCTTGCCCATCTCCTTTGTTTCCCCTCCCATTGAGGAAGCATTTGCTGGGGAACTTTCATGGTACTCCTATCAGCTTCATTGTCTATCCTCAACCCTTCAGCATGTCAGGATGTACTGAGAAGCCCTTTGTTGTAAAGTGTTCTCTCCAGTTTCAGTGTCATTCCTGTTCCCTTCTGCCCAGTGACCCCTCCCCCCTCTCCTTCAGGAAATGGGGCTGACATAGCAACAGTGAAATGGGAATTGTACCTTCTTATCAACTACCCTGGGTCTGTTAAGGGTAGGAGCATTATTAGCTTCTTAACTCAATAGACTTAGCTCTACATTTGAGTATAAGGCCACTTATGACAGTCCATATCCAGATCAGAGGTATGTGAGGATTCCACTTTTCATGAAACCCCACCATCATGGGATTGCAAGAGGGGTGAGTTAGAAATCCCTATCCATATTCAAAATGACTTGTGATTCACTGACTAAAGCCATGTTTGGTAAAGGCTGTTTATAATACTTACCTGAATGCTAGGGAGTGTCAGGCAGGTGGCCTGTCTGGCTTGTACATACTAGATGCAAGCTATTTTCTCAAGTAGTCAGATCATGCCCTTACTAGCTGAGTATCTCTGATTAGGATATGTAATGTGCTACCTCCCCCTGCAGTGGGTGAGTATTGCACATATGTGACCCAAAAAGCCATGCAGGACTTTTCCAGGATAGGCAGCCATCTTATTAAGGAGAGCCTACAGGATGACAAGTGGCTTATAATTTGGAAGTATCCTTCTTCCTTGAAGGGAGCTATCTAGGATTCTGTCCTGGTATAACCTCTGGTGACTATAAGGAAGTTGTTAAACTTATAAATAGCAATCAGTCATCCTAAAGGGTTATATTATGCATCCTCATACGTGAGGAGCAGTTAAGGAAACCTTAGAACAGGGGGTTTCAACCTTTTTTAGTCTAAGTATCCCCGGTGACTGGACACTGGGGGGGTGGGGTGGCGGGTAGAACGTGGCTGAGCATGGGGGGAGGTTGGGGTGGTGACGTATGGCCAGATGCTGAGCGTGGAGGCAGGGAAGACGTGTGGGCGGGTGGGGATGGAGTGCCGCTGCCTCCCAGGAGCCAGGCTGGGGCAGGGTGGGAAAGCTCACCTGGCTGGAGTGAGGGCAGCAGCACCCCTCTGTGGGGCAAGGAAGCTCATCAGGCTGTGTGTGGCAGCAGTGGCTGCTGTGTGCGAGCTTCCCTGCCCTGCAGAGGGGTGCCCCTGCCCTTGCCCTTCTCTAGCCCTGCTCCTGGGAGGCAGTGGTGCTCCATCCCCGCCTGCCTGCACGTACCTCCTAGGACCGATCCAAGTACCCCAGGAGTATGCGTACCCCCTGCCTTACAATAATGGTTCTCAACCTTTTGGCCAGATTGATCCACAGCCTGGATCCTATCCTTGGGCATAATCTGGTGCATGATGCTAGTGTTGCTGAGGCCTAGAGTTCTGGAGTACTGTGTCCAGTTCTGGACACCGCAGTTCAAGTGGGATGCGGACAACCTGGAGAGGGTCCAAAGAAGAGCCACTCTTCTGATTAGAGGCCTGCAGGGAAGGCCCTATGAGGAAAGGCTAAGGGACATTAACCTCTTCATCCTTTCCAAGAGAAGGCTGAGAGGGGACCTTATGGTGGCGTACAAATTCATAAGGGGAGAGCAACATGAAGTAGGCAACGATCTGTTTACTAGGGCACCCCCTGGAACAACAAGGAACAATGACCATAAGCTACTGGAGAGAAGGTTTAGACTGGACATTAGAAAAAGGTTCTTCACAGTCAGGGTGGCCAGGAGCTGGAATGGGCTTCCAAGGGAGGTGGTGCGTGCCCCATCCTTGGGGGTCTTCAGGAGGAGACTGGACAGGCACCTGGATGGGATGGTTTGGTGACCCTTTTGTTACCTGGCAGGGGGTCGGACTAGATGGCGCACTGAGGTCCCTTCTGACCCTAGAATCTATTAATCTAATCCTGCTACTTGGGGCCTGGAAATTTGGCAGCGGAAGAGCACTGGTAGTGCTAATTGCCACTACTTCCCTGCCACCAAATTTCTTGACCTCTAGGGAGTGCTGCAGGGCAGATGAGATGTCTCCATTGTTACATCTGGCCTACAGGCCAGGGGTTGAGCACCCTTCCCATAGAGAAATTCCTTGCTGAGGTAATAGGACTCAACCATTGCTACCAAGGCTAGAACCATAATGCATTGCACTCACTAACCAACACCAAGATTATTCAAGAAAAAATAACTTTGCGAACCTAGAAACCCAGTGAAGGGGTAATCTGGAACAGAAGCTCTAAGGAAACCTAGTTAATTTTTCTTCTAAACTAACAAAATCCTTCACATGACAAAAACAAAAGGAGGGTTGGGAGTACCAACAGTTCCCATAGGAGATTCTTTCTTGTAACTCAGTCTCAGCATCCAGCTTATTAAGAACTGGCTAGTAGTAGTAAAAGTAAGGCACACATTTCATATTACATTCTAAGACACTGTGCCATTCAGTGCACTGTCCGGAGAAATAAGCATGTTTGTAGCTGGGCACCTGCTAGGCAAAATGTCACATCCAGGAATTCAAAAATCATAAAGAACTTCAGAATCCAGAGCATAGAACTGCTCCCCCATGGGTCAAAACAAATGTGGCTCTGGCTATAATTTTACCATCATGTTAGAGCTTTGCACCTGAACTTTTTGATCTTTGCATAGGTCTTTCTAGGTAGTAGTAATCTGTAGCCAGTTACCACCAGTGATGAAGGTTTCCAGTGCTATATAGAATCTTTGTCCCAAATATGTGTGATAACATACTTACCAGAATTGCTTCTGAAGAGAGATGCCTGTTATATTGCAAAATTAGGCGTCCTCAGATTGCATATCAATACCCTTTCGTGGGCAAGTAAGTACAAAGAGCATTCTGATAGCCAACCCATTTTTTTTACATTCAGTACAGTAGCCAGTGGGGAGCATATTTAAAAACTTACAAGTCACTTCAGTTGATTGTGGCAGCTCCATTAAAGGTGTGTGAACCAAACCAAATTCCTGGCAAAAAAGTGGCTACATGTACTTAGTTCAGTGTCCTGCCTGTGACTGTAACCAATAAGTAAATGCAAGAATTTGCACAGGTAAACAATTATTGTGCTCAGAGGAAACACCATCCTTGTTAAGAGCTTTCGTTACAATTGGGATCCTTTCCTTTCCTTTGTTGCATCCTTGTGACAAGGTATTTAGCGGAATAATGTCAGTGTTTGTCTCTTCCAAAGCCAGTGAGTGAGTAACCAGGAGTCAGAGATGGGGAGAACTGGAATCTACTTCATATGCTGCCACTGCTGCCACCACTTTAGACTTGCTGGACAGTAGATAAATCTGTAATGAACTGGTCTGTGGAGAAGACCAAGCCTCTTGAACCAGGGTGTCCTTGACTGGGGGAGACATATAGTTAATAATGAGGCACTGGAAGAGGAGTGTAGTTCACCATGGCTTCTCCAGTGGCTTCAGATCATGTTTGTATTTGTACAGAACGCCACTAGAAAATTTTATTCATTCCTTTCGTAATATTAATATTTATGGCATAAGAGGATATGCATAACTTCATAGGAGTAGGCTTATTAGAGTAGGTGCTCAAAATTAGTTTTCAATTTACAATTTTTTTTAGCAATTTCTGAAAGAAAAAAAATGAGGAGGCATGAGCTTTGATGCAATGAAATTTTCTAGGAAGGCTTTGCTATTCTAATGGAATGGTGCATTCACCTTGGTTATCTAAGCAGATCTTTGTACCTAGGGAACAAACTGAAACTTTTTGGTCTCTACAAAAAATCATTTATGACAGGTCCTATTGAAGAGAGATCCAAGACTGGCATTGGAACATACTTCTGCAGGTCAGGGCTGTGCTTTCTTACCACGATATTAAAAACAAAAACAGAAAAACACTAACCCCTACCCCCAAAGTTTATATGCTCAACCATTTTAAAAGCAGGATAGAAACTAGTTTAGTGTTATCTTATACTAGCAGAAAATACTATTCTTTATTTGATACAATTTGAGAAGTCTTCTGTCTACTTATGACAACTTTCAGATTAAGCAAAATGGATGGCAGCTTTCATTTACTTGTTAGTTATTTAAAATGGGGAGTAGCTAGGGCAATTCCATCAATACCTTTTGGACTCGGAAAGAAAGGAAGCTGTCCGTGGGGGAGCGATAGGAACCAGGATGCGTCCTTTCTTCCCTGCACATGTGGTCTTTCAGAATCAAATGGAAGAAGGAGGAGTTAGTTGGGAGTCTAGAGCTGGCACAGCAGTTGCATGAAGAGCCAAAGTTAAGACCTAGGAGACTGCTTACTGCAATTTTCACTGTTGACATCTTTCCACTGATTGGCTCCTTATTCTGACAGGTGGTGCTCTTTGCTCCTTTCTTTCATCTATCCAACCCTCCCCCCCATGTCAATTAATCTCACTTGAAAGGATATAAATAACAAGGGAATCTGTGGAACTAACGCGTTGTCGGCCACAATTTTTTTTCTTTCCTTATCATACTTCTTTCCAGTACTTGTGTCTGGCTTATTTATATTTAATAGTTCTTTTGGATTGGATTGTGGATTGTATAGTCTGTTTTTTCCAGGGCCTGGCGTATAGCCACTGTTTTAATAAACATAATTAAAAAGAATAAAATGGGGATAACAATGTGAATATAAAAGAATTTTTCTTTCTTTGGTCAAATAATCAGATGGAAACTTTAGGAAAAAATACAGTTAAAATGGCAGACATTTTGTTATGGACAGAATGAAGAGCATCCATATTGAACTGTGTAATTGATGTAAAGGGTGTAATTTCCTAATGTCTTAATGATCTTTTTGTCTCTCTTTATGTAGAGATATGAAAGGTCTAATAGTTACTCTCAGTGACAGTGGGCACCTTCAATGTTCCTACCTCGGAACCGATCCTTCTGTGTTCCAGGCACCTAAAGTTGAATCTAGAGAAATGAACTATGAAGAGCTAGACAGAGAAATGAAAGAACTTCAGAAGATCATCAAGGAGGCCACAAAAACACAAGGTACACCCTCTCTTTACAGAGCTGTACAAAGTTGCCACCACTTTGCTCTTATTTAGTTAGCTCTTTTCAATACTTCAAAAAGTTACTATACTTTTAACATATTTACAGTCCATAGGGAATATACTATTTAATAAATTCCATTTAGAAGTTTTTGTTGCTTCTTAATTATAGGTGAGGAAACAAAGCCATATACTCTGTGGCTCTTGGATGCATAGGGTATTATTCTTTTCATCATGCCTGTTGGAACTTGCAAGCATTCCACTATTCCAGATCACAGAGCATTCAGAGAAAAAAATTGATAGTGTAGTTGTTTATTTAAAAAGTTGAGAAAATTTTAGTAATTTCACAAAAAATAGTTTAATGTACTTTCCAGGCTTCAGAAAGAGAACTTGGCAACATTTGTTTTATTTTTTTTATTTCAAATGGGGTCTTTACTTTCATGTAATTAACAAAAATGACTGTGTAAAGTAGCTTTTTTGTTACTTTTTAAAAAAAGAGTAATACTTGAATATGGTAAATGAGTTGTCAGATGTACTTCAGCCTACTAAATAAACAACTGTTTCAAACTGGAATATACATGCACGCAATTTGAACGTTTGCAAACAGTTCTTTCCTGATTATATTATTAGTTCAGTTTTTAAATAATATGATGGTCTTGTATGGTGAATCTCACAAGAATGAAGTTTTACTGGGGAATTGTGAAAGACAATTCTGTTAGGTGAAATGCATTAATTTAAAACCCTGTCCTAGGAGCAGTTAAATATATTGTTAAAAATACATTAAAGAAACAGTTCCTGCTTTTTATATGAAAATACATGATAAAGCAAATAGGAAAATAAAAGCAGGACGCAAGTGGAAGCCAAAGAAAATAAGAAATAAAATCAGTCTTACTCCTTGGTATTTGCACAGGGCTGAATACATGTGGTTTGATTAAACTGAAGTTTGAAAATTGTATTTTATTTTTTGACTCTTACTACCTGCAGTGTTTTCTGCTTCTTTTGAAAACTATAAAGCCAGTAACCAGTTATTAAAGCTGTATGTGCTTCCAAAATTCCAGTAAAGCAACTTGTATTTCTTACTGCAAATGCAAGGTCAATGGACAGATATCTGTCATTTGTTTTTTCAGTGCACATTATGCCAAGAACATGGATGAAATAAAAGAAAGTGCAAAACCGCTACTCTGCTATTCTTTATTCTTTTTCTTATATAAATGTATATAAGATTTTACATGCATGGATCTTTTGGAATTGATAAGTTGCCTGTGATTTTTTTAACATGAATTTTTAAATGAATGAGTTCTTTAATTTGTTCTGCAAATTCACGGTCGTCTTCTACAAGCTGACTTCTTTCTGGAAAAAAAAAACATGTTAAGATTTTGAGTTAGTTTGAATTAGTTTGAAATCTTAGTAAGATTTTGTGTTAGTTGAAGCTTTTCAGAAAATCCCTTTTAAAACAGGAACCTTTACTTGGTGGTACATAAATGCATTTCAGTTTTGGATTTTATAGGTTTATGTTTTGTTTTTCCTCAAATCCTTAAAATAACTCGCAACTGGGGCTAGTTGATTACCAAAACTCTAGAACACAGGTCAGCATTGAGTTACTATCTAGATGGGTGGATCTGGGATTTTGAAAACGGGGGATGTGGATGGTGCATTCAGTCTGAGATTGAAGCAAAAACTAATATAACTTTATTGGACCATGCATTATTTTGTTATATGTTAAGTACAACTATACAGCTGGTCCAATAAACACATCACAAAATCCTTGCCTTAGGAACCGTAAGTAGCAACATGACCGATTAAGATATTTAAGGTGCGGGACTACAACAAGTATGGCAGGAGTGTAGTGAAGAAAGCAGCAGAGATGCATGGCTCCGAGAGGCCTTAAAAGGATCCTTTAAGACAGGCCAAGGCTTTTACTGCTGTAGTTCTCTGTGCTGCTGCAGGGGGGTTGTGGCACTGAGCTGGCCCTGCATGGAGAAGAACTGAATTCTACACAGCATAGCTCAGGACAAGATAATACTTAACTCATTCCCGGCTGGATATTATGCTCCCTTATTGCAGTAGAAAAGAGGGGAAAGAAGGGGGAAGGGCAGGAAGGATGAATGGGATTTTCTCCACCTATCCTAGCTCCATGCCATTTAACCCATTCCCTGATGGCTCTGGTGCCAGCAATTTGCTACTTCACTGAAGCATCTTTACTGGCCAGGTAGAAGGAGGAGGGGATAGGACTTTCCCCTAGAGCAGCATGTGCCCTGGGTCTCAGGAGCCCAGGATTTGGTGCAAGCAGTTTGCTGCCTGTGGCAGCAGCTAGGCTTGCTGGCCACAGGAAAGAGAATGGGACTGTCCACTGGTACAGTGCAGTGCCCTGGCACCCAGGAGCCTGTCTTAGGACTCACCCTGCTTTTGCCATTCCCTGCTGGCTGGCAGCAGCCTTCTTGGCCATGTAGAGGGGATGGGGAAGAGGAGATGGGACTTTCCTCACCTGCCCTAGCTCCTGGGAGCCCAAATTAGGGCTCCATACCATTTATCCATTCCCTGTTGACTGGTGCTAGAAATGCATTTCTTTATCATAGCAGCTGTGCTGGTCAGGTGGAAGAGAAGGGGGAAGAGGGAATGGGACTTTTCCTGGAGCAATATGTGCACAGGAGCCCAGCTACCCCCCGTTCTCTGCTGGCTTCAGTGCAGGTAGTTTGCTAAGGCAGCCGCTGGGTTGGCAGGGCCACATGGAGGGGAGGAGCAGGAGCAGCAGTGCCTTGTCTTTGAGGAGTCTGGCTTATGGCTCTGCACAGTTTACCTGTATCCCAGCCCCTTTTAATCTCCCCATCTGGCTTCTGTGGGGCTTCTCTTTGCTGTTTTGCTTCTCCAGCCTCCAGCAGGTCAGGCTCCCTCAGTGCAGTTGCTGAGAGAGTAAAGAAGGAATCAAAGTGGGGTGCATCCGCAGCAGTGCAACCCCTCTGGATCCTACCCCTGGCTAGTTATACAATCTTTAAGCCAAACTGAACCATTAAACTTCTGTCTGTGGTTTTCTGTGACTTAAGGGTCTTAACATCTATAATGACATGTGTCCTTAAAAAGAGGATTTTTCAAGTTTAAATTCAACATCTACATATGGAAGGTATGTAGGATTAGATCATTTAAAAATGTAGATCAGCTTTTTCCATGAAAGTGTTGTCCTTTTGTCCAGCTGGAAACATTAAATTGTTGAAATGTAAGTGTTTTATTTATTTTTGACTCAAAGGTTTTACATTTTAAGCTGATGAAAAATGTTTTCACTATCATGTTATTTCCTTAATTGTTACACGGTAATCATTTGGAAGGTTCAGGTGATAGAGAGAGCCTTTTGCATCTAGGGAACCAGTTCAAATTAGCACTCCCACTGTGATGATAGAAAGTTGATTCCATCTGCCCATTATGTTCTGAATTTGTGGTCTCAGTCCAGGTTTTTGTGTTTGTTTGTTTTTGATACTTTATTTTTCATTTAGGCAAGTATAGAAACAAAGCTCCAATGCTGAAGTAACACACAGGAATTGCATGAGGTTGGGTTTATTGCATATTTACAAAAGAAATAATATACAACAGTAACTTATATCATCATCAATGTAATGTTTATATATTATAATATTCAAACAATCTGGCTCAAGACACTGGCTTGCTGGCTGGCAAATATATACCCCCACATATTTACTCAAGTCTAAGATGACCCCGTAATAATTAGATTCTATAAATTGAAAATTTATAAATTTGTTATAATTTTTCACAAGTAGAATATAATTACTGGGGGCATTGTCTTTCAATCATCTTCCCCACCACTGTAGGGGTGCAAGCAGTGGGGGGCAGGTAATATGGGGAGGCCAAACAGCTTGCTCCCTGCTTGTGTATGCGCCTCTCTCTAGTCTTGAGCCCCACCTTCCCCCTCTGCCTTTGCTCCCCCTTCTTCCCTTCCCTACCAGCATCTGTTCCCCCCCATCCCCGCCCTGATCTGTGCCAGCATGCTCTGTCTTTATTCTAGTCTGGAGCACTGAGCACAGCCCTAGCCCTAGCCCAGCCCCCATAGCAGCCGTGTAGGCTGCACTGCTGCTACAGCACCAGGCTAGGTCCATGCTCGACTGTAGTGTGGGTGGAGCCTGCTGGCATGGAGCAAGGGTAAGGGGAGGGGGGAAAGGAGTGGGGCAGGCAGGGGAGCAGAGACTGTGTGGTGGTAGGGGGGAGATGGTGGGGTTCAGAGACAGCTGGGGGGGGTGGGAAACGACGGACGGACGGGACAGAAGCTGCAGTTATGGCCCGGATCCTGGGTAGTGACTGAAGCCCAAACCACAGCAGGTACCTGCATTCTTTCTCCCCCATGCCTGCCCTTGTACTCAATTCTAAGACAAGTGGCCGTTCTCCCACGTTAAATATGGGGAAAGCCTTATCTAAAAATCCAGTAAACATGGTTGGGGGGGAGGGGGTTATAATATATTATAAAATAAAAGTGGTAACTGACTTCACTCTTTACATTATAAGAAAATAAGAAAATAAAGCATATCTAGGTTATATTTAATCTACTTTATATACCTACAATGCTGTTTTGGTTTCTATGCTTCTTTAATGCATTATTGCTCTAAAATTAACTTTATTTACTAAAGCTTCCCCCCTTCCCCTCCATTATTTACCTAGTTCAATTTCCCTCCTATTTGGATCACCAAGTGATCATTATTTTTGTACCCTTATCCCTTTCCTAAAATGTGGAGAATTCACCCTTAGATGGAAAGACGCATTCAATCCCTCCACACCTGACTAGTGAGCTCCTTCATGAGAACTTCCTGACTTCAACCCTAGGGGAGTTACGCCACTATATTACTGTATTTTCTCAATATACAAACACAATCCTATTTTGGGAAGATCCCAAAAATAAAAAATAATCTTATCATGGAGTATAATTAAGTATCAGAGGTCTTGGATCTCCAGGGCTGGGAGCCAGAGACTGGAGGCTGTACACCAGGGCCCAGTCTACCATGT